GATACCCGGCCAAAGTCTAGCAGCAGCTGGAGTTTCGGAAATGCACTTATCTTCTGCACGTCGGTCGTTACTACTATCGGTGAGTCCTGTGACCTATTGCCTACCTATTGAATTGCAAAAGCACTTACCGAATCTGGATGCGATCATTAATTGAGGTGTTAATCAGTCCAAAGTTCATTCTTTAATCAAAACAGCGCATTAGTGCTTAAATTAACACAGTGTGTCCATTTCTTTGGTTTCCTGAGCAAAAAAATTGGTACTTAGTCCAACATTGTTAGATAGCTATGAAACATTCTGCCTGTAACTTATCACCGTGGTAGCAGTTTTGCCTGGCACGAGTTTTCCAATGCACGCCTACAAAAGGAGTAGCACAATTAAGTTGAAACAACGATATTGTTCGACATTCGGGACTGAGGCGCATGATCCCATGTAACAGAACGCATAGTCGTGCATTTGTGCTACGCCTATTAGATTCTCAACAACCTAGGCTAGTGAGGTAGTGAACACACCTTTTAAAGTGAATTTACTCTCTTACGAGTAAAAGTTATTCCCGATCGTTCCACGTACCAACCACATCCCAAACGAGCCAATCACGCTACCAGAGGACCGACCAGAGGTTTGGCTACTTTGAGAAAAAGGCAACACTAGGCGAGTGTGACTTCAAAGTGCAGGCTACTGCTCTACGGAACCATGTGTGATGAAACCAGTGCAACATCACACCTCGAGGTGTGTCTGTGTGCGTCTGTATGCCCTCAATTCACGCTCATGGCTGGGCCGGAGAGAGGGTTGGGGGGCTTCATTGTTTGGCCTCCAAACTAGCCGTCGTCATGTTTGTACGTGTGTGACTCACTCCGTTGTGCGTCTGTCCTACAAGGCGCAAAACCAACCCATCTTTTCGGCTGATTTCAAGGGTGTCTGATGTTGTAAAATTGGATTAACTACGGACACTATGGATCGTCAATGCAATTTTTCCAGTACATCTAAAGTCGGCCAGCCTGTCGACCGAAGTGGTTTGCTTTCACTGGCTACTGTCGTTACCTAAAAGCGTATTTAACATCTTCACCGTCAAAGCCTCTGAGGAGAATCGACTGCCACGACTCAGGTTCTTGATTGTTCCAATAGGCCATCAACTGTTTGAAAATTTATTTAGAATCCAGAGTATCTCACGGTGGTGGAGTCCTTTGTGATAATGGAGAACCGTGAACCCTGAAAGCAGGGCATGTGCCCGTGCAGCTCACAAGAAGTAATCCAATATGCCGAAAGTTTGCGTGTCAAAAGTTATAATTTGTGGTGAATACAAATTGGTTTTAGTGGAAAGTCACGTAAAGATGCGAGTAAAACTTGCCAAATTGTAATCATTTGAACCTACTGAACAACTTGCACTGGGTCAGTTAATCACTCCCCTTCTAAACACTCTCTCAGATGTTTCCATACAACTTTACTGTAATAACAGACGGCTTAGGCACATTCTTTATAATGAAATGAATTGCGCGAAATTGGACAAATAGACATGCAATCTGAAGCATCATCGAAGTTGAGAAGCCTGCCAACGTCCACAAGATTCTGCTAGTTTGGCACGATTGCCCGGGCTGATCAATTTTTAAGTCATGGATGTATTGCAGCCAGTAGAATTCCCTACAATGGCTTTTCTCTAAGTTAGAAGACAAAGCTTTCAAAGTCTGGCTGATTCAGATTTAAAGCACGTGGATTCGTGTTTTTCTTATCTAAATGTTTACCGTCCGATTCTAGAAAATAGAGCGCGAAATCGGACTATGTGGAGACCTTAGTTCAATGCCGTATCTTGGATTAAAAGCTCACTTTTTCCTCATTGTTATTCCGCGAGCCCATCGGTTTAGGACTTCGGAACATTGTGTGAATAAGGTAGTAGACTCAAATCTTTAGTCAAATTTATGTTCTATTGGATCAAACAAAACATCGACAGTGGATTTTCCTGCTCGCGTTCATAGAAAAGGCATGGCGAATTTGGGAAGTCCGAACGTCGTTAAATCGGCAAAACGACTTTCTTACAGCATCTAAGGAATGCTTCCTTGTTTCATAAATACAGCAGCAACAATTTCCTGTGTTTTATAACTTGTTTATCTGTGACTGCAAGAAAGTATGACGAGGACCATTCAAGTCAAACCGTAGCTTTTAGCTTTAAACCTACACTTCATATTGATGCTCAGTGTATAGAAGCCAGATCCTGGATGCCTCATATTTGCAGAATCACAAGTCGTAAAATTGGTCAAGTGACAAATCGCTCCCTCTCTATACAATGAACACAATGGATACAAAGTTTCTTGAGTATTAGTTAAGTCCACAAATGTTGTACTAGACCATATGAATAAAAAAAATGCATTTCGAGCCCCTTGAAGTTTCTCTTTTGATGAACCAAGCTGTCTCAGCTAGACTTTGATAATCCCTATGAAGGGCTGATTAAAAGTTTTTAGTCAAGACTGGAAAATCACATCAGTTTTAGTCCATAGCCGCCATTGCTTCAGCAGGTGGATTAGGATGCCGGTTTTTTCTGGCTATACTTACATTAGGGTTAAAATATTCGCTTTATTATTTTTCCTAAGGTTACGGACATATAATACCCCAGACACCTGCAGGCAAGGTGTTTTGCATCGCCTTTGGGTGCCTAGGTATCCCCTTCACCCTCCACCTCTCCTCGTTCACCATCTCCCTCGTGATGCCGCTTATCCTTCGTTGGCGAGCTGTCACCGTGCGTTTCTTCGTTGCGCGCTTTCCATCGCCGCGAGGCATTACCTCCAGCCCCCGTATTCCCCGCATTCTAACGTTTGAGCATTACAGCACTGGTGATACACAAACGTGAGAATTTTGTGCAAAAAATTATTGTTTATATTCTACCACAAATACGTCTTTACCGGTTTGTTTTAATGTGATCAACTTTAAACATTAGCTCTGGGTCCTTTCCACTTGACTTTTTCTATCTTGATAGTTCAAACACATTTTTATCGTAGAACTAAGTTTGTAATGGTAAAAAAGTGTTCTTTTTTAAAAAATTCCGTTCACAAAATCTAGTTTATACAACTGCTTTAGCAGTTAGACTTCTGAGTGGATTGAAAGTAGCAATACTCTTATTCGTAAAACTTTTTTTATGCACCATCTTCCAAGATCTGTATTTTCATGGCACAGAAATACAAGAATTTTTGACAGTCATCCGACAACCGGCGATGTCCGATCACAGCGGAAGGCGGATTTGGAGGAGTCGCGTCTTTTCAAAGTGGAATTACCATTCCACAGTGGAAAAGTGAATCATTCCTTTGCTGAATCCGGCCTGACTAATTCACTGAGTTATCTTAAATTGCGCCGCAAATCTAAAAGTCTCACCTCACTTCACTCCGATCTTCGAAGAAAGCTGCACTGCTCTAAAATAGCTGACAACATGAGAAAGCACACGACTATTGTGTTACCGGCGACGAATGTGGAGCATCACGAGGCTTTGGTTGATAATGAAGTCCTTGCTGCTGCTGCCCGACTAAAATTATTGCAAAATCACTGTTCCACGGTCTCTAAGACCTCTGCCCTCCTCAATACGCGCTCACATCATGTAAGTGTGCTGTGATCAGGTCATACCAAATGTTCCCATTCAATGCAATTTAACTTACCACAAGTGGTGGCAACCCTTAGTATTGTTTAAAATTTTTATTATGTGTCATCAATGTTACTCCTTTTAATAACCACAAAGTGATTGGGTGAGCGGTGGCAAATACAGTACAAGTAGGACCCAAGGTTGTTGTTATGACGGTCAAATCGTACAAAAGTACGACTTGTTAGTGCGCTACCTTGTCTCTACTTTCTCTTGAACATCCTCGGCGATCACGCTTCAAGATGTTTCTTCACAGCGGCAGTCAGGTGAAGTCAAATTAGATCATGCAATGGCTTTTCACTCACGATGCTAATGCATCCAAAATCATCCCGGTTCTTAACGGTTGTTTTCAAGTACCACCGAGGCATCTTTCGGGGATATCGTCCATTTTTTTTCGAAGCATGGAGACGTTGAAAGCGTTAACGCTTTGTCCGTAGGTTATTCACAGCAACTTACGGACAGTTTGAACTTGTTTAACTTGGATTTAGTCACAACACCATGGAGTCTGCACACTTTTCTTTATTAAGCCTAGTAGCCGCCTACTTCGTTTAGACGCAACCCCCCTTTGGGATGTCACGCTGCCACCAATTTAGGGTCCAAGTTACCACCGGAGATCCTATTCCACTCGTGTGCACAAATTCATACTGTTGTTGTTAAGACCGAGGCTCACGAGTGCTGTACCCAATTCAATTAATTCACAACTAACAAGGACGCTTTTATCCACAGGTTTCTGTCGTACAACCTCCACTAACCTTAAGGGAGAAATTGCACGCCCTCCGTAAAAATAGGTCAACACGAGCTCGTCTTTTCCACCTCATCATGGTGGTTGTTCTTGTCTTCATGCTCATCCTATTCGTACCAGCGTACGTTTTCATGCGACTCGAACCAGACTGGAGCTACCTTGACTCTGTCTACTTCTGCTTCATCTCCCTCACAACTATCGGATTTGGCGATTTTGTTCCCGGTAGAGGGGCTCTAAAAGGGCACACCTCAAACAGTACACAGTCATACAAGCTGGCACACGAAGTCTATAACATTGCAATCGTCGGTAGGTGATGTCTTCTTCATTTTCTTCTTTTATAAACTCTCTCAGCCAGCTATAGCATTTTAATTAGACTACTCATCCTTAAATCAGTCATATTTTTGACAAGTTTTGCTTTAACCAAAAACAAATCATGTTCATAATTAAAATGCATACATAAAAATCTCGTTGCTTTTTCCTTTTTTTCCAGTTTACCTAGTTGTTGGAACCACAATGCTTATGTTGTTGGTTCGAGTGTATCGTGAAATGATGGAGGTGGAGCGAAGAATCAAACGTGATCGTCTGATTTTGAAGCTGCAGCATTCCCTAACCGATCCGAACATGACCCTTTCCAACACACCTCTGTGCATTCCTCCTTAGAGTAGCTAATACGGTCGAATTACTGTGGGATCCCTGTTTATTTAATTGTTTTTGTACGATTTCTACTTATTTGCTTGGCACAACACATTTTTATCTAGGAAGCGGTATAATCAAAAGATTGTTGAATACAATGCTTCATCATGTGTTCTGTTAAATTTTATGCTACTTATAAGGAAATAAGTACGTTTGGGGAATTGCCCTTGGAAAAGTGCGTGAGGCTTGAGGTACCACTTAAGGTGCAGCAATGCTTTGAACATTCACGAAGTTTGGCTCCTGAATTCGCCAAGTGTTTGACATCTGTCACTATGAATGTTAACTCCCCAAATATGACACTAGTCATCGGCCCAAAATGTTTCAAATCCAGGCAAAAGTTTGCTTGATGTATTACCCTGGCAAAATAAAGGGTTGGTGTAGAGATTGAGTAACGATATCGTCATACAAGCCCGGTTACAGTACGGTACATTAATGCTACCTCTACTGTGTACCAATTAATTGACTGTCACTTTCTTCTGAGCTCACAGCAACAAGTGGGACTCCTAGCCCAATAATTGACGTTTCTGTGTCACTGTCAGGACGGTACAGCTCGATGAAGTGGAGGAAGTCGGTGCTACACTTAGAGGTTACAGATATTCAATCAAATTTTAATTTCGTAGATTTGTAAAACAATTGTTAGTGAAGCTCCGTTGAAGATTTCGCGAACCTCGAAACGCGAGTGCATGGGGTTTCACTGTACCGCCAACTAACTGGGTTCTCCTAGTATTGAAAGCATTCAACTAGATGATGGACAACTCCGGGGGTGCGTGCGTACGACAGCGTGAGGTCATGGATTGAGTGCCTTGTCAACAAAGACGTAGAACACGAACCAGCGGTCACCCACTCATATCCAGGGGAATGGTCCTGCGTCTGACCTGGGCCAAGGCGATCCCTTGCCCACAACGTCAAAGGTCATTCAAGTGACCATTTAATGCACGAAATGACCGGTCATGAATGTTTGATGGAGGCATAGCCTGGCATAAGTATACTCCGGAGACACAGTCGCCTGTGAAAATGGGGAAACAAAACACAACTATTCATAAAAACCATATTTTTCAGTGAGATTTACTGCTTCATGCGAAAGTATGGTAAACTATTGTATTTCTGTACCAGCGTCCACACCAAAAGGCAAAATCTTAATTTACCTGGAACAGCTTAATACCCAACTTTAATGTTTGACTTCTTCCGTGATTTTTTCCATGGCTTAAATGCATTTTTTTTTCGCCTGCATCTGAAATCATTTGATACGCCTGACCTTCAGTATCTCTACCTCCACAAGGCTTTGTTCAGGTTTAATGTGGAACTTGTGGTGCGTGTTTCGCCTTTACTGCTTTAAACCATGAAACCACACTACTAAAGTGGCAATTTGAATGTCTTGTATGGTGGCTCAGCATACACCAGCATCATCTTTGCGTCTATACCTCTTATAAGTATATGAAATAGAACAACTTAATTTGTTCCAGGAAGTAGGAGTAGGTTCTTCGCATCATTCAACAACTGATGTTAATTTATCTTATCAGTTTGTATCATTGAATAAGGAGCACTGAAATCTTTATTTGAACATTATGTGTAGAATATGCTGTAGGCGTCTTGGTCTTTCCCTCCTCCTCCTC